ACCACCTGATGCTGTGAAAAAAAGGGTAGGCCAACAAAGAAAAGAAGAGCTGACGCTAATGACATGAGGCTTAAGGCATCAAACAACAACAAAAATTGTCTTTTGAAGAAATGCAATCTATGTGGGCTCAACAACCACAATAAGATAAGGTGCACCAAAATAAGTGAACAGGTCAGTGTTTATTATATTTTTTTTTCTACTTCAATTTGTTTTGTTCTTATTTCTGAATTTAGTTGTTTTACTATTTTCATCTTTTTTATGGGCAGCCACAGCCTCAGCCAGCTCAGCCTCAGCCTCAGCCTCCTCACCCTCAGCCAGCTCAGCCTCAGTCATCTCACCCTCAGCCATCTCACCCTCAGCCACCTCAGCCACCTCAACCACCTCAGCCTGAGCCACCTCAGCCATATGTTCCATCCATGCCATGCTTTGAAGATTTTATTCAGTGCTCTGGTCCACAATCATCCACTCAACAAAGCAGGGATTATGGTAGTGATTGGTGATTCCATTTAGTGTTGGTCAAGAACTCTTTCATTCCATGGACTATTGTTTTTTTTTGGTGTGTTGTTCAGTCAACAATTCATTTCTTCTATGGTGATGTTAATGGTTATGACAATGTAGTTGTGGTATCACTATTGTGTATCTTGTTTGGAATGCTATTGACAGTATTGTTTTGAATGCTATTGGCAGTATTGTTGGGTTTTGAATGTTTGGTTTTGAATGTTTGGCTGAATGTTATTGGTTGTATTGTTGTGTATTTCCATGGACTATTTTTTTGGTTTTGGATGTTTGGTTTTGAATGTTTGGCAGTAATGTTTGATTTTTATAGTGTATTCAGATATTTTTTTGGCTAGTCATAGTAGTAATGGTAATGACCATTTGTAGATAGATGTGGTGAGAGTGGAGAAGCATTGACAGTAAAAATTTCATTCAGGAACAACAAATGATTACCATTACTTAAACCCTTTAATAACAACAAATTCATTGACAGTAAAAATTTCATTCAGGAACAACAAATTTCATTCCATTCATAACAAAGGCACATTATACAAATGATTACATTAGTTAAACCCTTTAATTACTTGAGCACACTAATAGCCATAAGAACAACAATAACCAAACAAAGCAATCCATTGCTAAATATTTTCTCAAACTTCTCGATCTTTGATTGAATCTCATTCAACATTGTTGCAATTTCCCCATTTTCATTTGTTAGCTTTGCCCCGGTTGACTCAACCTCATCACCATCATCTTCAATGAAAACATCATCTTCATGTACTTCATTTGACTTCACCCAATTCACTGAGGTAGGTATAAGCCAAGCAAAGAAACGACACTTGTTGTACGGACAATTGCAAAATAGTTTGCCAACGGTTTCTTTCGTAGGGCCAACAACTTTAATGAGAGCAAATGTGTTGCAATAACACTTAGGATGCTTATACCTAAGATCCAAACTCTCATTCTTTTACATCTTTG